TGCCTAGGATGGTATTTTCGATATGATACTCAGAATCCAGAAAAGGAATAAGATAGAGCCAGATACCACTTTTGTTTTGTCCTGCACAGTGGCATATCATTCAAAACACTTTGTTTGTACCTGAGAAACCCAACTTGAAATAACTTAACCAAAATAGGCAATTAATATTATTTGACTGAGAGAAATTCCAGGTAGAACTGACTTGCCACCAATACTCATTCCTTTCTCTCCTCTGTATGTTTTAATTTAATTTTCTCTAAATAGGCTTAATTTTCTTTAATAACAAATTACTTCCTTTCACAGAATATAGTTCTCAAGGCCCTCAGACATGCTGGCTTTTTTGTGTATATATCACCAAAAACAAACTAAGACACTTAAACTCCCTGGTCCTTGGTCAAAAAATTCCAACCTTAACTGTCCATCTGAGTCAGTCATTGTGCCACAGAACAATAAGGTAGCTTGACATGCCAGGTACCCACAATAAGTTACAGGAAGGAAATCACACAGTAGTATAATGGCTCCTATTCAACTCAACCAGTTAGAGAAGATGGAAGCAGAATTTTCTAAAAGAAGTGTTAAGAAAATAGCTGTTATTTTTGTAAGACAAGAAATGTGTTGAATATATTTGGCAGAAATGTTGAAGATAAAAATATAAATACCCATTATTTGGACATAAAGAAGACAAACCAGATCTTTCCATCTCATTAGTTCAGCCAAATTTTTTTTCCATTTATATTTTCTTTTTATTATGTTTAATACAATGCCATGTAAATTTAATAATCATTATGATCTTGTTTTACAGAGAAAGCCACTCCCGATTCCATCTTTATTGAGCAGTTACTTTCATTTTTAAAAAATATTTTTTAGTTGTAGATGGGAACAATACCTTTATTTTTTTATTTATTTTTATGTGGTTTTTGACCTTAGAAATGAATATGATTATGTGTTTCAGAAGTGTTTCTTGAAATATGTAACAACTGCTCTTGCATAGGCACCAAAAAATTAGGACAGACCACTCAATCAAGGAGGAAGAAAGCAAGCTCGGTGGGAGTGCCAGAACTTTAAGAGTTGAACATGATTTGCCCTAATGCCAGGGGAAGTTACCAGTGCGTGCATGCTCTCAGGCCCTGTGTGCTATTTTTGCAAGCCTGTTAGTCTGCCACACTCTAATGCTAAGAATGTCAAGTATCATGATAAAAATTAGAGACAAAGAAGATCCAACTTTGAATTTCCTTTATGTACATAAAATCACCCCGAAAAACAATCTTAATATAGAGTTCATAACCCACCTTTGAAAACTTCACTAGGCTTAGTGTAGGACCCTACATCCTAAAATTATAATAACTTGTCCAGATTTTTCTGTTGTTGTTGGCTCTTTGTTCTATAATATGCTTGGTAAATAACTGCTGTAAATTGTATTCCACTTAGGGAAAAGCACCCTGGATCTTTGTGAGTAATTGGAATAAGTAAGAAAATCAACAACCATAAAGACATTGAAGAAAAGTAATGTACTCTCAGCAGGAAGGCTTCTGTTTATTAGGAATTAGAATAACTTGGGGGTCATTTCTTAATGGCCTGTAATTTTGAAGTGAGGCAAGCAAGTCAATCAGGAAAAAAGTAAGGAGAAGTCAGGAGAGAACAGGTATGGAAAAAGACTTAAAGATGCAATGCAGGGTCTCTTGAGTAATGTTCAGGCCAATCCTAGCAATAATCAAAGACCAAAGAGCCATTTGTAACTGAAGAGACAAGTCTGATATTTTGATCTTCAATCTGGTGTCTCATGGGACTATTTCCCATTTCTTTCAGCATCAACCTCTACCTAGCATAAGGAATTGTAAATTAAGATGCATATGATTTGAAATATTAAAAAGTACAGCTATAATAAACCACAAAACCTTGACCAGGTCAACTTTAACATAATTATCCCATGATGCATAAAACAAAACTTAATTGCTGAATGTGATCAATTGCTAAAGAATAAGATGTACCTACAGAATATGCTCACCTGTACTTATTGCTGTCAAAGTAAAATTAAAAAGAAGAACTATAATTTCTTGCAGTGCAACTCAAATTAGGTACTTTAATCTAAACTTTATAGTTAAATTTTTCATTTTGTTTTAATATATAGGTTTATTTCAGCTGCTTTAATAGAATGACTACAAATGTGCTGTTGTAAAAGTGAGTTCTTAAAGAAATATTTATTTAAGTGGGTAAAGGAAATCAGAACAAATTACTGGTGCTTTGGAGATTGAGGTCCCTTTGCTCTGATAGCTTTTTGAACAATTTAATAGTAGAATAATGACAGAATTTTTTCTGTTAAATTAGAACCAAGTCCCACTGCCTTTCTCCAGCACTCTGTGACACTCTAACTTCCAGCACAGGGACACTTGCTAGTAGGAGGCCTAGGTTTAATAAGCATCATTATAAATCAGTTGGTATTGAATCATCATGAAGAAAAGAGAAGACATTACAGAATCAATTTTAAAAATGGATGGGGAATCCAGAAACTGACTTTGAAGATGGTTTCATTTGAGCAAATATAGTTACTGAATAGGATGCTTAGCAGTCTTTATATGGGGCTTATAAGTAAGAGGGAATCAAAGGCAAACTTCACACCACTGGATATACTCAGTCGAGTTTATAAGTATCACCAGTGGGCCAAATCCTGCTGCTCTAATAGCTAGAAGAGACAGGAGGGAAAGAAAGAGAACATGAAGAGGGCATAAAAGAAGTTGGAAAGCGTGGCAGGGAGAGAGATTGGGGGGGGGGAAGAGAAGCAGAAGAGTAGAACATTATTGAAAAAGAAATAGAGAAGATGTGCTTAAACATCTGTTTTGAGTGATACGATAGTGCTAAGCACTCAATTCACTTGCTATTTATCAGGTTCCTGATGTGCAGCAAACATTAGAAAAGGAAGCAATTGAGGGAGTCAGCTCATTAAAGCAGGATGTTATGTTAATGATAATTCCCATTTATTCCCTCAATTTACTGATGAGAAAAATGAAGTCCAGAGGTCACTGGACTGTCAGGGATGGAACACTCTAGTCATTAGCAGAGCCAGGCCTAGAAATCCACTCTCTGTGTAAGAGACAGTATTGATAATTTCTCTGCTGAAATTGCTTTGTAAGAAACTAGAATGGAAAGCACAGATAATCTTGAATTATTTGAAGAGTCCCCATCTAAAGCTGTCCAGGTTCTTTCTTCAAGGCTTATCTCAAATACTACATAGGAAACAAATATATACAAGATTTTCCTTGCCACACCTACCCTCTATTCCTTTGTATGTCAGGTTTATCTTACCTTCGTGTCATATCATTTATCAGTGTGGGCTTCTTTCTGTCTCCTCATCTTACACACATACACACACACACACAAAAAAAAAATTACAGTGAGAGTCATTTATACACAACACATATACATGCATGTATTCCTAGATAAAGACCCCCTTGAACATAGTCTCCTCACAACAGCATCCATGTTAAATTATACTGTTCTTTCTTTGGTGCTTTACACAAAGGGAGATCAAAATCTTATTTTTAGGAGATAATCAGCTCCAGGGCTATCTGATAGCCCTAGCACCAGAATCCACTAGGCCTCAGCTAGTGCATAGACTCTGAGTAGGTAAATGCCCTATCCAACCTCACAACTTTAAATGTTTTACTCTGAGAATCCAGGCCCTCTACTATTTAGATTCCAGCTATACTTCCATATTTATCCTATATCATTTTCATTCATATACCAACATACCAGAAAAAAATAATATTCCAATTATGGTGATTTTCCATCTCTTTTTCTTTGTTTCTAGCAAACTATTTGCTTTTTGTCCTGTCTTTCTTCTACTTATACAAATTATAACTATTCTTAGGAATGCCCAAATGTGTACATAGCTCTATTCATATCTGTAGATTTTCAATTTAAAATACACTCTACTGTCATGTATATCTAAAAAGAACAAATTTAAAAAAATAACATATGGATCTAGAGACTAAGTTTCCAACTTCCTTAAAAGAAAGTATCTTGAACTGAAGGGGAAGGTTTGGTGGAATGTGGTAAAGACCCACCATTACACATATTTGAAGATTTATGTTTCATTTAATCACCACCAATAAAGGAATGCATGAGTTTGTGAGGCAGAATAGAAAGTCAACTAAATTCATGAAAAATAATTTCAGATAATATGATCAACCTAATAGCATGGGGAACATACATAGAAAATTAACCTGGACATTTTCTCATACATTTTTTGGCCATTCATATTTCTTCTTCAGTGAAGTGCCTATTCAGTCCCTTTGTCCATTTATTGATTGAGTTACTTGTGGGTTTTTTTGGTACTAATCTTTTTGAATTATTTGTATAACTTTGAGATTAATGATCTGAATTGAATGTGGTAAAGGTTTTCTCCCATTCTGTAGGCTCTTTCTGTCCATGTTCTTTGTTACCTTTACAGTGAAGAAGCTTTTTAGTTTCATACCATCCATTTATAGATTCTTGATTAGGAGTCTTGTTGAGGAATTTGGTTCAAAGCCGACATGATGGAGAGTTGGGCCTACTATTTCTTCTAATAAGCATAGGGTCTCTGATTCATAAATGTCTATTAACTTGGCAATGATAAAGTTCTGATGTCTTTGTTTTTTTAAAAAAATCAACACAATTATTTAATATTAGGAATGGTCATAAATATTTACTTTAGAGAATATTCTAAAATTTTCTAAAGTAAGTAATATAAGTAAGTGAATTACCAGTGTTGATAAACACTTTTCAATAATTATCACTTTAAATGGTCTTGAACAGGCACGTAACCCAATCCTTAAGGGAAGAGCAGGATTTCATCATCATGATTGTACCTAAGTGTACTTTTTATTTCAATGCATCAAAAATTTTAATAGTCATCAAACATACACTAGCAACCAAACCACAGTGATTTTCAGTATAACATCTCCAAGATTGAAAAGAAATTGTGACATTCATTTTATGCTTAAAGACTATTCTTTATTTCCCAGGTGTGATGGGAGAATATGAGCCGAAAATTGAGGTGCATTTTCCTTTCACGGTTACAGCTGCTAAGGGAACAACTGTTAAGATGGAGTGCTTTGCACTTGGCAAGTAAGTACATATTCCTCTATAATTAGACACAATTGTTTATTAAAATGTGACAAATCTTTTCAGATCATTTATTTTGCTAGATTTTCTTTCCCCAGAAGCTCCATAGTTGCTATACATTTTTTCAAAAAGAAGGACAAATGAGAATTGGCAAAGTAGCCAATTATAATTTTCTTCCTAGTCATTTCTATGGACTGCAATGTATATAATTTGGTCATTTTAACAAAAAGGAAATTTCTCTAAATTAAAGACAAGCTTCACTTTTCTGTGCCTCCATGCCTTATATTTCAGTATCATCCTTAATTTCATTCAGCAATGCTCCAAATAAGAGGAGGAAAAAGAAAAAGGTACTGTCTGCTTCTCATGTATAGGATGTAAATTATGTAGATTATGAAAATGGTACAGAAATTATAAGGATAATACTTAGATTATTTCAGAATCTCCAGAAATAACATCATGATAACACGAGCTGATGATATGCACAATTTGTTATCATTCCTTGAAACAGACAGAAATATATCACATTCTGTTTGCTATAGTTATTGATTCTATTTCTGAGGACTTGAATCCACCATATATTGTCACTTGTCAATGATGTTTACAATATAGGTATTGGGATCAGAGGCAAGAGTGGAATTTTGAATATATTTGATTAAAGTATTATAACTTATTTTAAATAGTGTTATTTTTTATGATCAGACCTCAGGGTCTTTATCATATAATTATAATTTGCATAAATGCATTTGTCAGTTACTAATCATCTAGCTTCAGTTGTGTTGAGCTAACTCCCACGTCATAACTATAAAGTACTTGGAGATAAAACATGCTACATAAATGTGTTTATAGCAGTAGGGTTAGCCTGTGGGTGACAAAAATATTAGTAAACAAAAGAAACTCAGCTATTAACTGGAGGTTTCAGGATAAATATAGTAAACACCATTTGTTTTAATTTTAAGACTGACTGAAATAACGTGTCAGTGCAATTCTCAAATGTAAATAGGAACAAGTTCATAATAGGCCAAAGATAAAATAAGTTATTGTACAGCCCCTCTTTTAAGAAAATAATGCCCATAAGTAGAAAGATATTTTAAGGAATTAAAATGAGCCTAGAAGATATTTAGGTAGATATCTGAGGAAGCTTCCTAAATCCAAAGGCATAATGTTAAGGCATAATATTAAATAATACCTTGAAAGTCTTGTTCTTTATCATTTCTCCATGTTGTAATGTCAGGAAAAATGTCTCACATAAGGTGCTTAATTCTGATAAATGCAAAAATAATATATTCTGACTTGATGCCAAAGGTTTTTATATATCCTGCAGTTAACTAATTCTTAAATGCCAGAATTTGTACTAAAGCCACAAACAAAGGGAGGTCATATTGTAAAACAAATTAGAAAACTAGATTTATAGAGAAAAAAACAATATAGAATATTTCCCTAGGCAAGCTTATTTAATAAGTTAGATTTGGTTGCTTTGGGAAGACTTGAAATGTGCTTAGTAAATTGATGCTTAAAGTTTCTTTCCTTCTAGACAGGATCCAATAGTTAAATCACTTGTATTCTTTTAATATTTTATTTTCTTCAACTTTTCCACTCCTCTTTTGTTACTCCTTCTCTCCCAAAACTAAATAAGTACAAGAGAGGGTAAAAGACACATACCACCTATATCAAGAAGGACTCTATTGTTCATTTGATATTCTTCCTGTGAAATATCACAGATGTGGAAAAAAAGAAGGCTGTCACTATCTATAAAATAACTTTCCACCCTCCTGAAAATAAACAAGATCAAAGAAATAACATGTTGACATGCTTTAATTCCTTTACAGCATGTTATCATGTTGGAGTGGGTCATCATCGAGTCCCAACATGATCCCAGCAACCTCTAATTAATGGCTGAGCATTGGCTTAGTTCTCACAGCTCATCTGAGCTGATGCTTTCTGAATGTATGGTGCTCTAGAGGGCCTTTGTTCTGAGAACTTCAGTATCTGGCACTAGACATTGGGCAAGATATTACCCTAGGCTGATTCTTCCTCTCAGTGTGTCTTCATAGATAGGTTTTAACATAAGAGTTTCTTCAATCAATATAAAGGACGCTGGTTTCTCAAAGGAGTGTTATAATCAAATTCTGTAATGGAGCATTTCAACATCTTTTTCATCTCGTGGTTTTTTCATTTGTCATCTCCTCTTCTATGAACACTCCTCCCCTCTTTTTCCATGGTGGTTCCCACCTGCTCTCTTGCCTCCACTGCAATAAAAGCTTCTAAAGAGGCTGTAAACATTTTTAAATTTTTTTTTAGTTGTAGATGAACACAATACCTTTACTTTATTTATTTTTGTGTTGCTGAGGATCAAACCCCGTACCTCACAATGGGAGGCAGGCGCTCTGCCACTAAGCCACAATCCCAGCTCCAGCTGTGAACATGTTAGCCATTTGTAACCACTTTATCTAACTCACATCCATTATTCTCTCTGAAAATACTTGGGTTCTTTTCTTTATAATACTTAATGTGATACTTAATGTGATTATATATATATATATATACACACACACACACACACACACACATATATACATACACACAAAGGAATTAAAAGGAATTAAAAGAATTAAAATGAGCCTAGAAGATATTTATTTTATATATATATATATATATATATATATATATGTATATACACACACATACATATATCCACATTTAGAAACTTCCTGTAACTCAACAATGCAGCTAGAAACAGGATTCAACGTAGATGGTTCAATGAAGTGTAGGAAATGATCAAGGTGGCGATCTGTGAGCAGGGTTAAGAAGACCACAAAGAGAAATGAAGGTATATGTAGACTGTGCATATCTGAACTCTGGTATCACTTTTTAAGCCTGAAGGCACAAAGGAGGAGGAGATGATGATACCAGAATCAGGTAGTGTTGGAATAGGCCAAAGAGTACTCAGCAGGGGCTATAATCACTGGAGCCACAAGAGCATAGCTAAAGAGACTTGTTTTTCTTATACCTTCTGACCTCCTCTATGGCCTCCCAAGAAGCCAACTAGAACTCAACCAGAAGTCTGTTTGCAAGCCAGAGGTTATAATCAAGACTATCTCTCACTTGTATATTGCTGTTGTCTTCTGTCATACCAGGAACACATCACTCAGGAAATGCTTGTTAAAGGAATGAATTAAATACTGTGCATATTTAATCCAATCAACAGTTAGTAATGAATAATAATAAGCTCTTCATACTTTTTTTCTTGTCCTTTACCCCAAAATAATTATACATTCACTAAACACCTGTTTCTTGCCCTATTATATTATATGTATACATATACATACATATATATGTATGTAGTATAAATCTCCAAATGTACTCATACTCTTGTCCCATCTTTTCCTACCTATTCTTGTCTCACTTCATCAAGTAGCTTCTTGTCTTAGACCTACTATTTCTCCATCTCCTTACTATCATGATAAGAAAACCTGAGCTCTACATTTTAAGTGCATAATTCAATATTGTTAACTATAGGCAGGATTATCATAACATATCTTTAGCAATTATTTATCTTATATAACCGAAGTTTTACTTTTATTTCAAACTTATCATGTTCATGTCATAGTTACTCTTAACAATTCAAACAAACAAATAAAAACCTCCCTTCATATATTGCCTCATAAGAGGAGATTGTTTTAAGCACAGGAATAAAAAATATTAATTAAAATCTAGAATGAAGGACAGAGTTAAAATATATATCAGAGAATAATATTGGATGTAATAATGTAATAAACACAAAGATGTTGCTGTTACTAACTTTGTCTCCTCTAGGTTTTGCTGAGGCAATCCAGATTTCTAGATTTGTACCATGTTATTAATTGAAGCACACACCTTCTAGATATAATTCTTTTCAAGGAGAAATGATTCACATTAATGCACAGGTGCCAAAAAGCAAGAAGTGAGGTTTTTCTCATAGTTCATCTTGTAAATGTGAATATACCTTGAAAAAAATAACTGAATGCAGATTTGAAGGTTTTGAGAGCCCAGCTTGCCAGGCAATGTCCTAGAGACATGAGAACTTTTTCCACAGTTCCTGTTTTCAAAGAGATGCCACTGTCTCCCTGCACATAACTGGGTCTACTATCACAATCTCTTGACTCCGATCTCAATGTTGTAACATAAACATTAGCTATACCTACCGACTGACCTATCCCCCATGGTCAGCTTTTACTGCTAGAAACATTTATTGCCCTGTTTTTTGTTTTGATTTCTAAGTGAAACTGAACAATAGTACAAACAGGTTTTCTTTCCTTTGGATTTTCTCTGACTCATAACAAGATCACATGAACTTTTGATAGAGTACACTACAAAATGTCTTTGATTTTTAAAAGAATTAAACTTTTAAAATATTATTTTAAAACATTAAATTAGATGATATTTAAATATCAGAATAATGTTTTATTTATTTTTTACTACATTTTTATTCCTATTTACATGTGCCTTTATCTCCTTATGAGCTGTCCCTATGGAAATGTTCATTTCCCATAAATTAAAGGATAAAGTTAATGTGAATACAGTGCACAGATCATTTTAAAATATGTTCATACTTTTTTGTTTTCTTAATGGAAAAAAGAATATTTTATGGCATCAGTTACACCATCTCTTGATATCACCAAAGTTTATCAACCTCCCTAATTTAAAATAAAAATTGGAAAACTAAACACTGTGATTTTTTTTTCTAAATAAATCTCCACTCAAATCTTAATTTCACAAAAATCAAATAGTTCCCCAACAGGAAACTGGGGCAAAGCACAACCTCAGCATACAAGTTCAGTCCTAGAAATCACTCTTAAAATAGTATTACACAACATTGAGTACAGAATTTATAAAGTGACAACAATGTGCTATATTTGTTATTGGTCAATTTTTGCAAAGGTATTTCCCCAAAACTGGAAAATTCTTAAATATGATCCTTAGGGAAAACGAGGTATACGAAGGCTTGGGAATACAGCAAAGCATAA